CATTGATCGTTATGAGTCAGTACCAACATGATGACACCTAACAACAACAAGTGAGACATCCACGAGAATGTAAGCAATAGTCTATGTGTTAAGACTGTTTTCTTTTTTCAAGAAATATATTACTGAGTACCAGAGGGCTCTGCTTTCTCTCATTAGTTACTTTCCCCTCCCCATAGCAATGATTTGAGAATAAAGGGTTACACAATAAAGTAATTTATTAGATCCAAAGAACGTTATTGTTAATTGCCATCGAGTTGGTTCCGACTTATAGTAATTCTGTATAGGATTTCCGAGGAGCAGCTAGTGGGTTTGACAATCAGTGGTGTTCAGTTGCTACAGGTTTTATGTACTAGCACAAGCTTTATTTAAAAGTTAAAGCAAGCACATTTCCTACATACTTGATTTGCTTTATTTTTTTATGCTTTCTGACTGCTTCCAGGAAGATGTGATCAGGATGTGGGCTTCCCTTTACACTCGCCTTTTTGCTTAACTCAGAGTAACTCTCACAGGTGTTGTCTGTTTCCCTGATATATGGCAGTTGGTATTGGTTCTTGCCTAGGTTTTAGTGTTTTATAGAGTGTGATTGTAGCTCGGCTATATGGCAGCAGTTGCTGACTCTTCTTGTGTAATATATGGAGAGAAAGAGTCCTTCAAAGGTAGGAGGAGGAGCATATAACAGCAAAACAGCACCAGCGGGGGGAAAAACAAGCAAACAAAACCCAGCAACAACAAAAATTAGACTGAATACTGCAGTCTATAATCACAGAAAAGGGAGAGGAAGGAGAGAAGGAAAAAAAAAATCTGTAGCCTAATATGAGCATGACTTTCCCGCTTCTTGCTTTCAAAGCTGACTGAGAGATTTCAAGATGCTAGTGTTGGTTGTTATGTTATACCTCAGTCTTTAATTTAATTTTTGGCCTGTTTTGTTTTTAAACTCTCTATAGGCCTGTCCTGCCCTTTCCCATATTAAAACAAACACACACACAAAAGACAAACAAGCAAAAAAACGTTCAGGGCCAGCTCTTGGGCTGAGTATCTGTGCGCATGCGTGGCAGGAGAACCCACCAGTGGTGAAGTTGGGGGGTGTCCACTTGCTCAGGCTCCCCCCTCTAGTCACCAAAATGGAGGTGGGCAAACAGTGGGTGCGCCAATGGCCAGATACCAAAAAAAAATAGTAAATCAGAACAAAGCAAAACTGACGAAGCGTATTGTCCACCTTTGCTCCAAGGTTCCAGCGGTGTTTTTCTGTGGTGTTTCTGCTCCCCCACATGGTCTTGCCATTTGGTCTTGCCCAAGATGTCGGATCCGGGCCTTGGAGCCCAGCCCGGCAGGTTCAAAAGTACGCTATTTTTTACGTCAGCTTCAAGTTCCACAATCTATAAGCCTTCAAACTTTTTAAAATATTCCTATCTCTGTGGTTCCGAGTTTTGGAGCTCTGCCCTACATCTGCTTTGCCTGGTATTCTGTGTTATTCCTGACGGCGAACTTCACTGCACCTCCACCCTAGTTGCCATCAAGCCCTGCCTTCCTTGATTTGCTTTATAAAGGTAATTTTTTTTTATTGTTGTTTTAGCTTTAAAATCTATAGATCTCCTAAAATCTCCAATTCAGTAGTAAACTTTGAGTTATTATTATATGCAAGATCCTGTGCTACACAGAACAGGAGTAAGACAAGATCTGTGTCCTCAAGAAAGACGTACACAAATAATTGTAATAACCCAGGAAGCACATGATATCAACTAATGCAAAAAAAAAAGTTGCATGAGAACACAGGACTAGCTATGATTGCCTGGTTTTGAAATATTAATGACAGTAATAGTGTTTGATCTGTTTTGAATGATGACTAGAAACCTGACTACCCTGAATATTTGAAGAAGAGTCTCTTCTTGCCATTTGACTTGGGTTTTATGGTGTCATTGTCCCATAACATGGCTTGGAAATAAAATAGACCAAGATTCAATGCTTTAGCTCAGCTTCACTGTGTAAATGGCCACATTGCCACCTTTTATAAATTACCCAACTTCTCTGAGCTTTATTTTGTTGTTGTTGTTGTTGTTGTTGTTGTTATGTGCTGTGGAGTTGGTTCTGACTCATAGCGACCCTATACAGGGTTTCCAAGGCTGTAAATCTTTACAGGAGCAAAACGCCTCATCTTTCTCCCACGGAACAGCTGGTAGTTTAGAACTGCTGACCTTGTGATTCGCAGCCCAATTCGTAACCACTTCGCTATCAGAGCTCCTTGAGCTTTATTTTATGACTCTGTAAAGTAGAGGAAAATCATGAGTTTAAAATGAGATCAATATATGTAAAACATACATTGTGTATGTACCTGACACATTGTTGTTGTTGTTGTTGTTATGTGCTGTGGAGTCCGGTTCAGACTCATAACCACCCTGTACAAGGTTTCCGAGGCTGTTAATCTTTACGGGAGCAGAACACCTCATCTTTCTCCCTCGGAGCAGCTGGTAGTTTCGAACAGCTGACCTTGCGGTTCGCAGACCGATTCATAACCACTACGCTACCAGAGCTCCTTACCTGGCACATTATAAGGTCTCAAAGCTTGTTAATAACATGTGGTAAACTGCTGGTTGTCAGCTTTAAACAAAGAAACACAAAGATCATATCCCTAGGATTGAGGCAGATGGTTGGTAAAGAATAGAGGCTTTCACCTCAGATAAAAACTTTGGGAATAAAATCCTCCCAGTATTAAAAGTGCATCTCAAGACAGAATGACAGGTCAGGGGCAGAGGAAGTGGAGGTTCTCTGTGTAGTCAACTTGAGGCCTCTAACCAGAATGTTGAATGATGTGGAAGGTTTCCTTCAAGATCACTCTGACATTGGATCCGCTGCTACCATACAAAGTATTCAAGTGTTCCTGAAAGTACACAGCAGTCTTAAAGTTTGCAGCAGAAGAATTGAAAGTTTCTGCAGCAACAAGTGCAATTATTACCAATGATGGAATAGGAATAAATCCTGCACAGACTGCTAGAAATGTTTTTCTAAAGCATGGGTCAGAACTATGAATTATTCCTAGAGATCGAGCTGAACGTTGTTAATTGCGGCTACGTGGAACATACTTTCCTAATCAATTTGTTCTGTTTGGGTTTTTTCTTTTTGTAAAATTGAAATCAGGCTCTATAAAATACTGTGAAAATGATGATCGTTAATGCAAGTTGACTCTTGGTTATTCATAGTCTCAATGTGAACAGGCAATGTTTACAGAATGTAACCACCCATCCTCACCTGTTATGCTGTCTTCACTTGCTACCTCACGACATGAACAGGTAGATCATTTAGGGGAATGGATTATCAAGCTCTGGTTTTATAACTGGAGGATACTTCTGATAATTATAAAAACATTTCGAAAATTAAACTTAACTGAGTCTTAGTTTGTCCTTGAGTTAAAAATTTAAATGTATGTGTGTTATTGTTTAGTGCCATTAGGTTGGTTCTGACTTGGCAACACTG